GGGCGCCGGTGCCGCAGGCGAGCCCGGTGGGTCCACCCGAGCCCCGCGGCGCCCCGAGGGAATGACGCCGCCTCTGCGTGCTTAGTCGAACCGCCCGACTTGAGGAGTCGAGCGTTGAGCCACGAACCCTAGATCCGCAGCTCCACGCTTCACACGCCGGGCCACAACCCCAAGACCTTTGCGCCCCGCCCCGCCCAGGCCCAGGGCGGCCCGACGCCCCGCCACGGCCCGACCCGAGGCCGCCGCGCACCCGACAGCCAGTCGCTCTTGGCGGTGCCGTTGGGCTTGACCGTCACGTCCAGCCGCTGCCCCAGGTTCAGGTCCACGCACTCCCCAAAGCCGACTGGCGCCACCGGCCGCGCGTCTGCCGCCGTCACCGTGACGTCATGGCCGCCGAAGCAGACGGTCATGTAGACGAGGGTGGCGGCGTTGACTATGCGGAAGGTGGCGGGCTTGCCGGGCGTGAGGGAGATCTCCTCGCGCTTGCACTTGGCGGAGGCGGTGGAGTCGATTTTGCAGACGGGCCACGAGCCGTTGGGGCCCTGGATATTTTTGGGGATATTTCAGGGGAGGGGACAGGGAGAAGAGTGCAGGCGGGAAAGGGTTGGCAAGGGGCGGCTGACGAAAGGGCAGGGGAACACAGTGCGCGACAACGGGGTAGAAGATGGTCGAGGTCAGAGGGTGAATATGACGTGGGGCAGGTGAAAGGGGGAGGGCTGACAGGGGCCGGGGCCATGCGATTTGCGATCGAGGCATCGTTGACGTATGCATCAATGCTGAGATGGTCAACACGCTGGATGGTGCGGGGGCGCAGAGACCGGTGCTCGCGAGCCGCAGCTTATGTTGCACAATCCCAAGGCGAGGGCACACACAAGGAGGCCCCCCAGCCGCCGGCCGGCCCCGCTCACCAGGGCGCCAGTGATGCAGGGGTTGAAGACGTCTGCGGTCTGCGCGACCTTGCCGTTTGGCATAGTCTGGTTGACCTGCGGCGCCAAGGAGAGGCCAGGGCGGCACGCAGAGGGGGGCAAACGTTGGACGGCGGGGCGTCGGCGGCGGCCGAGGCGCGCGGCGAGGGTGCGAGAGCAAGCGTCGGCAGCGCGTTTGTTGCGCCAAGGGATGCGCCGGCAACGGCCGACGCCATGGCTTGCCGCAAAATGACAGGTCGGGATTGCGCCGCCTCACACTCTCGACCAGCCTCCCCACGCGCGCCACGCGCGCCGAGGTCATGTCAGATCGCGCGACCTCCAAGATTGCGCCAGATCGCGCGCGCACCTTGCGGTCGTACACGTTCTCGCAGTCCGAGATGGACCCCTTGCCGTTGATAAGGATGGAGCGCGGCACGCCAAACCAGCACCAGTCGCCGCTGGTGCTGGTCGCCTTCGCGGGGTCAAACGGCCTGGGGGAGGGTGGTCAACGTACATGTACATTGTATGTATATACAAACATATGTATGTACATGTGCGAATACATATATGTACATGAGGGATTGGGGTGAATGTTTGTTTGCATGCCCGGCTGTTGATGGGTTGAAGGGCGCCAAAGGTTTCAAAGGGTCGGGTGCGTGTGTTTGCAAAGCATGGCCGGCGCCAGACGGCGGGGCGCCGCGGGAGGCCGCGGGGTCGCCGGCTGGGTTGGAGTAGTGGCGGCAGGGCAAGCCCCAGGCCACGAGGCCGGCAACTGCAAGGGTCGAGATGTGAAGCCCGCCCTGCGACGCGCGGGCGGGGGCCGGGCCGACCCCCCGGGTCGCTGGTTTGCGCTGCGCGTCCCCACCTGTTGAGGCGGATCGCCATCGCGGCGCCGGTGTACTCCCACCTGCGGGCGCGCGCACACCGCGCGCGTTCCGAGGCCAGTCAACACACCGTCGCCATCACCCGGGGCAGTATCACAGAGGTAGACCGGCCTAACCGCCGCCGACCATCGCCCTCGCCCTCGGCCCCCTACCCTGCCACTCAATTTTGGCCCCCCAGCCCGCCACCTCGACCCCCACAACCCCAACAGGTTGAGGCAGCAAGCCGTGCCACGCGTGCTGCATGCGCTGACAGCGGGCTGCTGGGGCACGCCCCACCCCACCAATCGCTGAGGAAGAGGATGTGCTCGCCCGCCGGCGGCGGCGCGCCCACTTTGGTGCCGGGCGGCCGCACGATCAGCGCGCCCTGCAGGCCGTCGCCCTTGTTCATGGCCGCGTGGTCGTGGTAGAAGTAGGTGCTGGGGGGGGGGGCGCGGGGGCGTGGGT